TTGTAATGAAATATCAATAAAAATTATCCAAAAAATATAGTTTAATATTTATACTAGCCTATTTATATTCTATATATTATACATATTGATAATAATTAAGTCCACACTATCAAATGTTTTGTTCCCATATATGGGCATCATTAATATCCTATAACACCCATGTATGGGCAAAACACAAATATTTGTCACTTTTGTATTAACGACTAAAAAAATTGGGTAAATACAACAGTAAACATCTCATGGATAAAATTAAAGAAAAGGCAGCAGCTATTGTTACACCAGTCTTTATGAATTGCTAATTCTGATTGGATATTATTGTATGTATGGGCTGGATAAGGACAGTAACATAAAGTAAGGAAAACATAATTAAAAATATATTTTGGAAGATTCGATGCTAAGTTTGGTATTGCTAAATCATTAACTGTAGAATGTGATGCAATATATCCCAGATATTGATCGACACTTACCACCAATAACTCTCCATCTTTTTCATTATCAATAGTTTCTTGTAAACGACTCATTCTGTGTTAAATATACAGTAATATTAGAAACAGTAATACTGGACATGGTATTTTAATTATGAATAATCCTCATTCAAAGTTTTCTTACTACTCTGATTATATAATCTACAAAATATACTTACATTATTATAATCATTATTGTTGTTATTATTTACTGTACTACTATTATTAGTAAAAAAAAAAATACTAATGATAACTCACAGTTGAAGTCCAAAGTGTCTTGAATAAGCTAATTCTATACCACCATCCATAAATCCAAAACTGTTTGCTGGTGATACCTACACATTCAATGAATATCGTTAATTATACAAATCAATTATTATCATTACTATTATTATTATTATTATGATTATGATTATTATAATATTAATTTTTATGCACCGGTGACAAGCCAGTTTTTGTTTGCTTTAATAGGCACTTTAAAAATGTGTATTATTATTAAATTATTATTATTATTATTATTATTATTTCTTAATTCAATTTTTCATTTCAAGAAAGTCATAATAAAGCATAATGATGTGAAGTAACAGTGACTTACTAAATTGATTAAAATACTAAAAGCAAGTTGAAAGAATAAATATAGAATTGTTTTTTAATGAACTCACTATTGCGTCTGTAGCTGGAGCATCTTTGAATATGTCACCTTCACTAACCTAGAGAAGAAAATTAAATTAAAAAAAAGAAACTATTATGAGTACTCTACAGTACTGTACTGCTGGTATTAAAGTATACATAAGAGTGAACAGTACTTCATTGTAATGTGTACAATTATTTAATCTAAAATTTGCTATTGACTGATGTTGATAAAATATAATTGAAAATAAGATTATTTTGATAATTGAAAAAATTCATTAAGCAATTAACATGTATTCTAAAATTGACAATAATTAATCTTTACCACAACATTTTCATGAGGTGCAAATATATCTTGCCATGCCTTCACCAATTCCGTGTTAATATCTCGTAATTGATAAGAAACAGTTATTGGTTCACGTCGCTCCTCTTTCTTCTTCTTTTTAATAATGAACAGCTTCTCTTCCTTCTTATATGCTGCATCTGTCAATATTACATCCATATCTATAAATGAAAACAACATATTAAAACCATATGTTTTAATGTTGAAAATTGAGAAAAAATTATTATCCAATATACTGTAAAATATAATCTTACTTTAAATCAATCATGAAAAATTCATATCAAAAAGGTTTTGTTTTTGTAGCTTTCCAATCCCAAGGGCTAATTTGTAATTTTCTATTATAATTTATATTTAATTGTTCTATTATTAGGGGTAGCTGGCTCATCTGAATTATAGCAATGTACTTTGCTTAAGTTACCCCTGCCCCTGTCCAGCATTTCAATTATTTTTCAAAATAAATACATATTTAATTAAAATTAATTACTACTGCAAGAAAACACTATAGTACCAGAAACACAAACCTGCTGCAAAAAAAATGTTAAGAGGAGAATAATCTAACTAAACTAAGCCTAGGCCGCCTAGGCCAAGGTGCTGATTGAGTGCTGGAGCTGCTCAATCATGTAATCAAGATCGAGAATATCATCAAGAGTTAGATTAGAGCGCTAGCCTAGGCCTAGGCCCCCTACAGTATTTACCAACGAATACCATATTGCTAAAATTGACTGATGTTAAAATACCTTAGTTTGTTACTTGTTATATTGGGGAGTTGACTTTAAACTATTGTAATCGTAATACTTACCTTTAAATGAGAAAAAATCAAATTACAATAAAATTTCACTAGAGAAAAACAGCACGTAGTCGACGACGGACGGACAGCCCCTGAACTTTAATGACCCCATATATTTCTTTTCCGGGTCATCAAATCCATTCTATAACAGGGGAGATTGTTTTAATTGTTTGGTAACTATTAAAATGATACAGTTTCATTCACTAACTTTATGGTTTATTTCAAATTAATTTATAATAATAATGGTGCACTGTAACCCTTAAAGAATATATTTCAAAATATGATTATATATAAAACTTAATTTTGTGGTTAGATTTTTCTTGTTAAATTGCACACCCTGTACAGAATATGGGGGAACTACCCTTTTGGAACATTTTTAACAAGATGGCGGCGTCCATGAGTACGTCGATGAGAATTCCTAAGGTAAATTAACTGCAAATAACTAGATATCAATTACAAAATACACTAATAAATTATATATAGGTCTAGAGTCTAGATGCGGTGTAATAAGCATAGGGCCTAGGTGTAGTATCTAACTGACTAGGCCCTGGCCCTAGCCTAGGCCTAGAGAGGCCTTATTTCTTTAAAAAACTAGCCTAGGCTAGGCTTGGACCCTAGGCTACCTAGGCCTAGGCCTAAAAGGCTAATTAGGCTCCAGAGGAAAAAAATTTTTGGATATGTTCTAGAACTGATTTTTCTAAGACAGAAAAAAGTTGTTTGACGAAAAACTGGGGAACGGTGAATGAGA